TGCAGTCAGAGGTTCTGGCCGGCCCTGGCCAGCAAGGGAAGGGCCCTTCCTTTGACTTGGGATGGTCGGTACTGGAGGCTGCTCAGTTGCCCTGCTCTCCAAGGCCGATGGTGGGCAGACAGCTGTCGCTCCAGATGCCAGGGCGGGAAGGAAGAGGAGAAGGCGAGGTGCCTGGCTGTCCCGAGTCCCTCCCCTCCTTCCTTGAAGATGAACTCTCGTGCTGGCTGGCGAAGCTCAGACATGGGATCCAGGGCCTGTTCCCACAGGGCTTCTCGCCGTGTGCCTGCCACCTCTCCCTTCCCGGTGCCCTGCCACCTTCCCCCACTAGGCAGGCAGCCATGGCCTCCTGGCTCAACGCAGACTCTCCAGGCAGCAGCTGAGTCAGGAAGTGTGGGCTCCAGGCCTTGCCCGCAGGGGCGGGGGCAGCGCAGGCCTTAGAAATGGGTGAGAGGACAGGGAGCGGCCTCTGCCTGTGCATGTGTGAGGATGGCAGTTAAATGGTACGGCACAAATGACGTGAGGACTCTGAAGACTTGCAAACCTCTTAAGAAATGTGAGGTCTTTTCATTTTACTGTGGTATCAGGGGGAACCATTAACTGATGCTAATTAGAGATTCTATGGACCAATGAAATGAGAAAAGAAAAAGCAAAAATTTACTTTGGGTAAGAGTCATTCAGGCCAGCCTGGTGGCACAGCGGTTAAGCGTGCACGTTCCGCGGTGGCCTGGGTTCACCGGTTCTGATCCACTTGGCAAACCACGCTGTGGTAGGCACCCCACATATAACGTAGAGGAAGATGGGCACGGATGTGAGCTCAGGACCACTCTTCCTCAGCAAAAAGAGGAGAATTGGCAGCAGATGTTAGCTCAGGGCTAATCTTCCTCAAAAAAAAAGAAAAAAGTCGTTTTAATTCTAGCCATTTATGTAAGTTGTTTCCTATTTATGCCTAATTAATATGAATTAGGACAATGATGGGATAGATAGGTGGATAGTGATGAGGATTTTAGGCTGGTTAATTTTAAAAACTGCAGATGAGAAGCAGGCTTCCAGGAGTGGAATTTGCTTGGAGAGATATTTGCATTTGTGAAGGAAGGGGGGATGACCTTGTAGGGACCTGAAATTGGCCACCCCAGGATATGTCTCTTTGGCATTGGGATTGTTTGGGCCTGATTGCTTTTGATAAACTGAGACAGGGAGGGAGGCTCTGGGGAATGGAACTTGCCCTTGTTGGGACACATTTACATTTGTAAGGTAAATCTCTGTCTGTAAAAGGTGCCTCCCTCTCTGTACCAGGAAGAAGAAGAGAGATGACCTTGTCCCTAGAAACTCTTAATGGGGAAGGCAAGAACTTAAGTTGGTTGCTGTCTGGCAATCTCATGTAACTGATTTAGGGTGGTGGCTTCTAACCTTTCTAACCATTACTTAATCCGATTTGATTCTTGTCTAAAAGTCATGGGATCACCCAATGACCAGACCCCACCTGCACTGATACCATTTTAACATTTTTCATGTTCTTTCCTTTGTCTTGTAAAGAGATGACTCACATACCCATGCCTTATAAAATTAGCCCTAACCCTCAACTTGGGGCAGCAGCAGCGGCTCTGCCTGCCCATGGGCCCTGTCCCCATGCTATTCCACACTATTCTCTAAATAAAAGAGCACTCCTGCCAGATCTTGAGAGTCCAAGAAATCTTTCTTTCGACTCCTCGGCTCACCGACCCCACATCAGTTAGGTAGATAGTTGAATGATAGTTTGATTGATTTGGGCTCGATTAATCTTCTAAATCTTATTTTGTCACATGTGCTCCTGTGTCGCATGTGCTAATTCTAGACATGTGCTCAGGCTTCTGGGGTGGCAGTTTTGTTACCGCCCGTGTGGGCTCATCTGCTCGCCACCAGACGTGCCCATAGTCAGGAGGCAAGGTGGCAGGAGAGAAAGGACTTTATTACAGCTTGCTTGTAAGAGGGAAGATGGCCAACTGGTGTCCGAAAGAACCGTCTCCCAGAACAAGACTACAGACCGGCTATACATGGGGCTGGTCTCCAGGTGGGGAGACGGCTGGTCTCTGGGTGGGGCAGACATCTGGTCCCAGTTCCTGAAGGCCCTTTGTTTGACTGGATATGCATCAGAGAATGGAGCAGCTGCCCTATACCCTGATCCTTCAGTTGTCATTGATGATGGCTATTAGCACAGACTCTCTACCCGCGGGTCATAACATTCCTAAGGAACTCAGGAGAACAAAGTTAGCATCTTAAAGAAGCTGGGAAGGGCCACAAAATCTACAGAGCATGTCTAGGCCAGTTAGTTAGAGTTCATTTAAAGTTACAATATGGTTTCTTTTATACAATATGGCTTCCCTTGTGTCAACCTTGTGTTGAGCTGGTATCCATTTGTGTTGCCTGGTCCTTCGGGAGTCAGTTTTCCCACGGCTTTATAACAATGGGCAGGAACCTTGGCCTTGAACCCGAGTGGATGGAACCCTACCTGTTCAGTTTGGTTAGGAGGAGCAGAAAGCTGAGACCTGACAGGGGACCCAGAGCCCTGAGCCTGATTGGGACTCCCTTGACCCAGCAACGGTGTGGTCTGGACCTGGTAGCGCGGAAGCAGAAGAGGGAAGGATTCGAGGCGTGTTTATGAAGCAGTTTGTTAATGTGGCTGTAAGGGAAATGGAATAGTCGCTGGTTCTCGAGTTTCAGGCTTGGGTTGTTGAGTGGATGGTCTCCCCATAAATTGAGAAGGAAACGCAGGAGAGGTCAAGATGTCAGGTTCAGTTACAGACCCCACTGAGTGACTGCAGGATATCTAGTGGAGATGTCCATCAAGCCCTGCATGTTCACCTTGGAAGCTTAGGCAAGAGGTGAGGGCTGGAGGTAAAGGTGTTGGCAGTGTGTATGCGGAAGCTGAAATCCAGAGAGAGAGGAAGAGTGTGCTTGAGCAGAGCAGTGCCCTGAGAGCCGGACCCTGGGAAAACCCACAGAGGAGACACTGGGGTGTGGCCGGAGAGGACTCAGATCCTGCGGGACAGCTGTCAATCAATAAGGGGTCGTTCTTTAAAGGAGAGTGATTCAAGTGAAGGCGAGTGAGGGTATGTCATTCCCAAGAGAGCTTTCTCACCTGGTCTATATGGAAGAAACCTACACACATAAATCAGGGTCAAATTTATTGCTAATCCTCTCTAAGGAGACTGGGTACAATGGTTATGTCCTCATTTAAGATTTATTGAGATGGGTTAGGAAGTTGCGTGCGGGCTCCTCAGACCTCACCACTGCTCAGTATTTGAACCTCTTTGAAGCAGTGCTGGAGCTCAGCCAGCCCTCCTGTCCTCAAGCCGTGGGGGATGCTGCCTGGACCCCTTCCTGCTGCTCCCACGTAAGCACACTGTGCCCTTCCCTTGGTTAGCACACACCTTCTTTGCACACACATGAGCACTTCTGGGTGGGTGTGTTTAAAACTGACAGATACGCCAAACTGTCCCCTCCGTAGTCCCCCGCCACACACACCCCTAATCTCAACGAGAGTCAGGTTCTTTTCATTCTAAGAGCTAAATTTCTAATCCCTGTGAGGCAATGGGGGCTAGCAAAATAAAAAAAATAAGAGAAATGTGCAGGTTTACCAAATTGGTATACCTATACAAAATTTTACAACGTCAACACCTACTTAGCTCCTTTGGGTGTCTGCCCCCTGCTCTTATTTCTGAAGGTGGATGTCTTAGATGTTCAGGCTGCTGTAACGAAGTGCCTCAGACTGAGTGGCTTATAAACAACAGAAATTATTTCTCACAGTTGTACAGGCTGGGAAGTCCAAGATCAAAGCACAGGCAGATTTGGTGCCTGGTGAGTGATGTGGGCTCGGTGAGTCGAGGAGTCAAAAGAAAGATTTCTTGGACTCTCAAGGTCTGGCAGTAGTGCTCTTTTATTCAGAGAATAGCATGGAGTAGCATGGGGACAGGACCCATGGGCAGTGAAGAGCTGCAGCGTGGGGACAGGGCCCATGGGCAGTGAAGACCAGCAATGTGCTGAGGGTAGGGCTAAATTTATAAGGCATGGGTATGTGAGTTATTTCTTTACAAGGCAAAGGAAAGATCATGAAAAAAATCGTTAAAATGGTATCAGTGCAGGTGGGGTCTGGGTATTGGGTGGTCCTGTAACTTTGGATAAGAATCAGATCGGATTAAGTCAGGGCATCCTATGCTTCCCGGAGGATGATATAGGTCAGTCTGTAGGGCAGGATGCCTTCGGCTTCTCTCCCTGGGGCAGGGGCAGCCTTGATCCTCAGCAGTGAGGGCCGCTTCCTGGTTCATGATGGCAGTCTTCTCACTGTGTCTTCACATGGTGGAAGGGGCAAGGGAGCTCTCTGGGGTCTCTTTATAAGAGCACTAGTCCCATTCGTGAGGGCTCCACTCTCAAGACATAATCACCCCCCCCAAAAGCTCCACCTCCTAATACTGTCATATTGAGGATTAGGTTTCAACGTCGGAATTTGGGGGGGACACAAACATTAAGTCTCCAGCAGGAAGATTCACTGGGCTTTCCCGTCTGACTTCAGACCTGGATCCAATCAGGATCTGAAGGTAGAATCAAGATGAATGTTCCTTTTAGCGTCAGGAGGGTTATTTGCATCTCCAAGCGTCTCTGACGACATCCAATTCTCTAGACCTCTGCCCAGACCAGAGCAATCCCTCCCCAAATATGCTAAGCAGAAATGTAGAAAATTAAGATACTTACCTGTATGTTAGGAGCTTACATTATTTTCCATTCTATTTGGTATCCAAGACCTCTCAAAATTAGGTATAGATAACACAGAATACCACAAAATACAGCCATTCTCCAAATTTCCATTTGCTTATTTCTGAATTCTCTCAAGGGGAAGAACCTTGTTTTATGCGTCTCTGGGCCCAGCATTCTGCCTGCCATGAGGTAGGCACCTAGCAGATTTTGGGTGAACTGAACTAGTTTTCTCTGAATACTTCAACTGAATTATTCGTTCTCTCCTCTTCCAGAATGAAGACATTCCGATGTTGTTTTAAATACCCCCTACAGCAGAAAGTTTTTGTCCTGTTTTTAACCCTGTGGCTGTTCTCCTTGTTGAAGCTTCTGAACGTAAGCAGACTCCTCTTCCCTCAGAGAGGCATTTACCTGGTCGAGTACTCCCTGAGTACCTCGCCGTTTGTGAGAAACAGATACACCCAAGTTAAGGGTGAAGCCGGGTATGAAGTTAACTGTTCTGCTGTCTATGAACAGGAGCCTTTGGAAATTGGCAAGAGTCTGGAAATAAGAAGAAGAGACATCATCGACTTGGATGATGATGATGTCGGGGCAATGACCAGTGACTGTGACATTTATCAGACCCTCAGACGGTACCATCAAAAGCTGGTTTCAAGGGAGGAGAAGAGCTTCCCAATAGCGTATTCTTTGGTTGTTCACAAAGACGCGATTATGGTTGAAAGGCTGATCCAGGCCATATACAACCGGCACAACATTTACTGCATCCATTATGACCGAAAGTCACCCGAGGCCTTCAAAGTCGCCATGAACAACCTGGCTAAGTGCTTCTCCAATATCTTCATTGCTTCCAAATTAGAGACTGTGCAATATGCCCACATTTCCAGACTCCAGGCGGATTTAAACTGCTTGTCCGACCTTCTCAGGTCTTCAGTTCAGTGGAAATACGTTATCAACCTGTGCGGGCAAGATTTTCCTTTGAAGTCAAACTTTGAGTTAGTGTCAGAGTTGAAGAAACTCAATGGAGCAAATATGTTAGAGACGGTGAAACCCCCTCACAGTAAGATAGAAAGATTCACGTATCGCCACGAACTCAGACAGCTGCCTTACGAATATGTGAAGCTTCCCGTGAGGACGAACGTCTCCAAGGACGCGCCTCCTCATGACATTGAGATATTCGTTGGCAGCGCTTATTTTGTTTTAAGTCGAGCGTTTGTTAAATACGTTTTCAACACCTCCCTCGTCAAAGACTTTTTTGCCTGGTCTGAAGACACCTACTCGCCTGATGAGCATTTTTGGGCGACCTTAATTCGGGTGCCAGGAGTACCTGGAGAGATTTCTCGGTCAGCCCAGGATGTGTCTGACCTGCAGAGTAAGACCCGCCTTGTCAAATGGAACTATCACGAAGGCCTTTTCTACCCCAGGTGCACGGGCTCTCACCTCCGCAGTGTGTGTATCTACGGGGCAGCCGAATTAAGGTGGCTTATAAAAGATGGACATTGGTTTGCTAATAAATTTGATTCTAAGGTGGACCCTGTCTTGATTAAATGCTTGGCAGAAAAGCTTGAAGAACAACAGAGAGAGTGGATCACTTTGTCCTCAGAAAAGTGATTTATGCATGAAAATCCCACAGTCACGTCATGGTAAAATCATGATGGGAGTAAGCTGTCTGATAAGCGGAGTGAACGTGGAGTTGCGTACTGCCATGGCCAGGACCATCTGAGCTTACCCTTCTCGGGGCCGGAAGGGTGTCTGTGATTCCATGCACAAGGGAAAGTGACCTAGCCTTGGGTGACAATTACCCTGCAGTTGGTTGGGTGTTTTTATGTTGGTTTTTGCTGATAATCTCACTGAGCTAAATCAGAGATCTTAAATGATTAGTCATTAGATATTTATTGAGCTCCTGCTCTTTGCCAGGCACTTTTTTAGAAACATGTAGGAATTGGATCCAAGTTTCTTGAGTTGTACAACACTCTCCCTCAAGGAGGTGTGGCTTACCCTAATGACACAGCAGCCTAGTGTCTTAAGTCCTCCGCATGACAGGGCTCTGCTGGAGCTTTGAAGGGTATGGTAATCATACAGCCATGGAAACCACCCATCTCAGAGCAGCGTTTTAAGTACACTGACCAATGCTCCACTTGTCTCTTCATTCAGCTCCCTTGACTTTTCGTAACGGTTAGAATATTACAAGGAGAGACTCCACTACCTCAGAAAAGCTCAGAGGATTTGCCCAGTTTCCTACTTGGCTAAGCACAGTCGACCATTTGGTGCCTCACTGGTTCAGTTCAGGGTCGGGAGACTGTGGTGGGGCATTTATAGTGTGTGAATGTTAGCGAGGCCCTGCGGGGTGGGTAGGAGATGGGACAGATGATGCCTGAAGAGGAACAAAGATTTGTATGACTTTTGCGTCGTGTTCTACAATGGTGCCGTGAATGGCCTCCTTTTTAATTCAACTCTTTCTTTAAAACATGTTTACTGATTAAAAATAAGAAATGACTAGTAGTCCAAAGTGTCACACTCCAGAACATTGAACCTACGTCTTCCAGTTCATGAATTATCGTTATACATGAGTTTCTTTACAATGGAATTAGTATAATTTTGCTTTATGGAACTAACAAGCTAAGAGTCAGTAAATTTTCTTGACAGTGTTCTGTGAAACATGATAGCTTTCTAAATTAATTATTATGATCATTTAAAATTTTTTCTTCTCCAGCATCTATCCAAGTGGAATCCAAATGTAAAATTATAAAAGTTCTAAGTTATTTTCAGTCTTCTTCTCAGCCTAAATCCGGAGAGAAAAATGCTAATTTTCTTAAGGACATAGCAAGAATATTCATTAAAGATATTTTGTAAAACCTATACCTTAGAAAACTACCAAATGAGTCAAATATACATACATGCATACGTACATGTATATATTGCTGAGGAAGATTTGCCCTGAGCTAACATCTGTGCCAGCCGTCCTCTGCTTTATATGTGGCTCGCTGCCACAGCATGGCTGAGTAGGGTAGGTCCACACCCGGGATCTGAACCCACGAACCCCGGGCTGCTGAAGTGGAGCGCACCGAATTCAACCGGTAGGCCATGGGGCTGGCCCCCAAATATACATGTATTTTAATGTAATTGTTTTGTGCTAGAGGTGAAATGGGACAGGAATGGGGTCCTGAGAACAGGCTATAACCATTTTATGTCTCTTGGGAAATTGTGGAACTCGTAAAAATTTCTTGGTGATATTATGTTTCGATGTCAGCCTCAGTAACTATGTAAAGATGTCGTAATCAAGGCCAATATGAGACTCTTTGGAAGATTGAAGTATTTAAATATTTTTTTAAATGTCTGTTCTACGTGTGAAATGTACTTTGCTTGTTTGCAAGTTTATGATATTAACTGCCAAGTGGGCACCACTTCTCTCCGTTTCTTCTTCTCTTGAACTCATTTTTCTTCCTTTTTTTCCCTACCCCCTTCAAATTACTTCACTCTTCAGAAAACAGGTATTACCAAGCTCCTGTTCCTAAAGATGAGTAACTGTTGGAGAGAGCTAAGTTCTGCAGAGCATCCTTACTGTTCGCCAGTGTGTGACCATGACAAGCCTCGGTCACCTTGGTCTCCAGGAGCCTCCGTTTTCTGGTGTTGGAAGTGAGCAGTTGGTTGCCTGTCCTGGCTTCCTTGCGAGTTTTTTGTAGAATCAATGGAAATAGTTTATGAAGTAGTTTGAAAATTCATACAAACCATTGAAATGTCAGGGAGCAGTCTTATTATAAGGCAAATATAGAACCAACCCCATGTGAGACTTAACATTTACCTTTTCTGAAAAACCTTCGAGATGTGAAAAGAAGCCACAATTGCAGGGTCCACTTCCGTAACTGAATCCAGGTATGAAGAAACCCCTGTCACCATATCTAGGGTTCTTTCTAAGCTGCTAGAATGAGCAGGTTGGTCCAGGGACAGAGATGGGAGTTGGGATAGAAATGCTTCTCCAGCCATCATGGCTTAAAGACGCAAGGTCCTATTGAAATCTTGGTGTTTATGCCTCTGGTCTTCAGACTAAGTGTAAATGCTGAAAGTGAACATCGACCTCCTGGTCCAGGGTCTGGCCTCCTGGTGAGAAATGAGTCTATCCCTCGTTTATCGGGAAACTTTCCAGTTGTTAATCGGTTTAATGCCGTTTTCAAATGAAACACGTCTCCGTGAAGAGGTGGCAGTGCCTTCCTTTCCCCATTGACATGTTTCTTGGGATCCAGTTCCTGACCTTTCAGGGAGCTTCTCAGATTACTCTCTTGCCTTGGGAATCCTACAGGTTCCCTGCCTGCCTTCAAACCGCCCTATACCTGATGCTTCTCTAAAACCTTTTGGTACAATTCCCTCTGGTCTGGAGAATGTTCTGCGTGTGTGTTTTATAATTATTCTTTGCATAGTATTTATTGAATCTAGACTCTAAGTTATTTGGCAATGACACCAGGACCTTGGAGTTTGTAAATTGTATTAATAATAACGAAAGAGCTACTTATATCTAATTATGTGAACAATCTACTGTAATATTATAATAAAGACCAGTATTGCTGCTATTTTTAATATTTTGGTTAAGTGAAATATATGTATAAATAAAGTGTTTAAATTTAGAAAGTTAAATTTGAAGATTTCTCTTGCCTTCCAGAATGTGAATATTATGCATACATATATGTTTATTTTTAGACATATTTCATAGTAAACAAAAATGACAGTCTTCTTTGGGAATGTAAAGCGAAGGTATCCTATGTATGTTCAACTGTTGTTGGTGCTGTTGATGAGGATGGAATGAGTTTAAAATTTTTTTTTTAACATTTTTATCAGCGGATCTCTAAATCTCCTATTTTGTGCGTTTCGTTTCTTTTTTACTGTTCTCGAAAGTCGTCTTTCCCCATGATGTGAGTTTTAAATAACTGGTGTTGCATTTCTGTGTTGTGCCGCGACAAGATGTTGATTCTCCAGTGTCGTAGACTCAAATGTGCTCCCAAACCAAAGCCCGGCATCTGTGCCGTTTCCTTCCTCTGGTTGTGCTGGTTCCCCACAAAGACTCTTTCCGTCGATGACTCTTGCCCAGCATTTGAAGGGCGCAGTTAAGTTCGCTTTGGAATGACAGAATATAGGCACACAGCTTGAGTAGTTGAATTTGAAAGACTCTTCCAGGATTTCTGTCTTCATTCTCCTTCAGATCGGCTTCTCCACTAAGGTTATCTAGATAAATGTTCTTGTTTACTTGGTTACTTTATGGAGGTTAGTTCTTAGTAGTGGAGGTTGACCTCTTTATCTCAGGTCCCTCTGTCCCTGGAAAACCAAGACTCTTTCTCTGCCTGCACCAGGGCTCCTGCCAGGGTTGTGAGCTCCATGGACACAGGAGCCTGGCTCCCCCGGTGTCCTCAGGCCTGGCTGGTGGGGGACTCCTCCCGAGCTTCCTTCTGTCCTGGGTAACAGCTCCTTTTCTAGCTCTCCTAGGCTGAGGACTATTTGGCATCTCCGATCCCATGCCCCCATCCCACCCTGAAAACCCCCCTGGCCAGTGTTTGCCTTTCGCCCTTTCTAAAGCCATAGTGGTCACCAGCCTCCCTAGCTGGCAAGCTGTCTGCATGTCATGCTCATCAATTACAATCCGTCTCAAGGAGGAAGGCCATTTGGGGAATCTTTAACTTCATAAAAATTAACATCTACTCTTAACCTGTGGTTAACTCTCACTCTTGCCAAGCTGGATAACCACACAAATCCACAAGAATCTCATGGAAGAAGTGGAACTTTTCTTGGTAGCAGTCGTGGCAGGATGGGTAGGTATACGGCATCATATTAAACACCTGTAAGCTTGATTCCGAGACAAGCAATTCCCTGTTTTTTTATTCCGTTTGGTGTCTACAGATCTACGTCTACACTGGGACAATTGGCTTCTAGTTTCATGAAACTGATGATGAGGAAACCCCTGAGAGAGAGAGTAGATGGTTGCAAATTCATTCCTGCTACTGCAAAAATATTCCTCTGTCATTGATGCATAACAAACAGCTTGAGCTTTGCTTCAAAGACGTGATCGGTGTGGCAGCCCACCCGAGTGCATAAAACCCCAGGGGGCACCATTCACAAGACCTCAGGTGTGGCCTTCACACAGCAGCATTGTCCCTCCGGGGAGCACCCTGATGGAGCCATGCCAGGGACAAGTAGCCAGAAAAGAACCTGAGGAAGAGTCCTGGGCAGTGACTTGGGTCAATTTATTTTATTCTGTTGTTGTAGCCGTTGTTTCTTACAGAACAGTAAAGGAAATTGAAACCAACTGTTTGTATTCATAATTCTAACCTCCTGATGCAATTGTTGTCATTCTCTGAACGTCTTCCCCTCTTAGCCATATCCATGTGTGTTTTTTCCCTCTCTTCCCACTGCCAATATATCTGCAACCACTTTGCCGTGTTGCTCCGTGCTTTTTATGGCATCTGATGGTCACGCCATAGTTCACTCAGCCGTTCCTTATTGAGGGAAGTTTGGATAGTAAGCTACTTAACCTTTTTTTTTCTGTCGTAAATAAGTGCTGTGAAGAGCTTTCTACATACAGCTTCTCCTTTCCTTGACTCATTTCCTTAAGATGCATTTCCAAGAGAGGAATTGTGGTCCCGAAGACAATGGGCTTTTGCTGTTTTTTTCCCCAATTGCTTTTCATATATGTTACAATCCCCCTCTCAAGGAATTGTGTAGGACACAGTTGGTGTGTGTCAACCGCAGCTCAACCTGTGTGAAATAAATTGTCCTTGTTCTGGTAAGTGGATATTCTGATTCTTGAAGTAAGCAAAGGCCTTTGCTTCAAGCAAGGGTGCAGCCATTCTTTTAACAGATCAGAGATGGTGTTTTAATGTGTGGTTAGTGAAGAGCTCTTTCAGAGTAATATTCTCAAAGGTTTGACTTTGATGACTGACTCCATTCCAGGAAGGATCTAAAGGCTGCTGGACCC